TTAAACACTGGTCCTAACCCTAATCTCAAACTAGGGTAACTTTTCTCGTGATACTGATGGAAACAACCTACCCCAGAAATTGGAGTAAGGGGTGATGGGTTGGGGGCCTATGAGATAGCTGATAGATAACCCTTAAAAAGTTGTTAAGGAGGTGTGCTACCACCGGAATCCTTGACGAAACAACCTACCAGTGGGAGACGGGTTGGAAGTAGCGAGTGCTGCTGGTCAGTGCCTACTTTTTGTCTTTTTTTTTTTTTTTTTTTCTTAATGTTTTGTTTTCTTTTAACGAAACACTTTTTGTCTTTTTTTTTTCTTTTTTTTTCTTATAACAAACTAAATACGTTAATGTTTTCTTTTTTTAACGAAACACCACACACCAGGATGCCGCATATACAGTATTATGTTGTAGTTCATCAGCAACAAATCGAAGGGCTTTTTAACAAATTTGAAGGCCATAAGAAATCTGTTCTAGAATTAGTAAGTGAATCCAGCATATTTTGGAGTCTGTGATCTTACTGGACAAAATGTATCTAAATAAGAAAAGGCAAAACTTATTGAGGAGATGGAAAGATCCTTGCTAATAGTAGGAAAAGAAATGTTGGTATCTTGGTCAAATCGAGAATGGACGGATATACTAAGGGAGCGGTAAATGCTATGATATCTAAATACGATCTAACCCTTCATGGCAACCAACTCAAAATATGTCACAGGTGTTAAAAAAGTTTTTTTTTTTGGAAGGCAGCATCATGAAAAAGAAATATTAGAAAACATTACTTCGTCGACAATGAAAATATTTCATATCGAGGCAGGGTTCGATGATAGACGAATCTATTTCATTGGGAAATTTAACCTTTGCCAAAAAAAACTCTACTAATGAAACAATTAGTAGTCAAGACATAAATTTCTAATTTTTGAAATTGAAGATGCTTCTGTCTCGAAGATGAATTTTAAGCGCTGCACGAAATCAGAGAAAAAGCTCGACCAGAACAATTATAGGATGAATAAAATATTGAAAAATAGCTGCTGATAAATCATTTAACAAGTTATTCGACACGAAAAAAATCAAAATAAAAATAATAATTTAAATTTTTAAACTTCATTCAAATACAATAAATTCGAAATTAATGATCTTCATACGTTCCCATTCTTATTTATCATGTACGTATAATTGATCTCGTACGTACGTACGTACCGATATCCTGACGTACAGGAAAACTAAATTTATAAAATGGTATCAGTCGATCTACACATAAAATATAGGATAATTTTTATATAAACTTATGTAAAAGAAAGTACAGTGTATTCGGAATTAAAAAACCTAGGTATCATATAACCGGTACATCACTAATTGCAATAAGATCATAGAAATAGAGATTTTACATCCAATTTAAAGGATTTTCCTTTAATATCGATATTGTGAAATAGGGAGATATTCTTATTGGTTGAGATTTCTTGTAGTGAACATTTGCGAGACACAATAATTAATAAATACAATTACTTAACGCAGTTGTTGAAAGGTATCATATAATTTCATAAAATTTTTGTCGTATATAAGGTTCTATTACCACTAAGTCATTTAACAATACTAGAGCATTTTCCGAAAAAGGGCTTCTGACCCAAAATTAGCCAATGAAAATTCAGGATCAGGCCAGAGTTTCGAAAAGCACTGTCAACCTGAATGATTGCCAAGAATTGAATTTTATACATTAAATATCCTAATAACGATAAGTTAACTCATTTATTATATGCACTTATACATGCAGTCCAAACTCGTGGGATTTGGGATTTGACCATGGACAAATGGGATCGTCCAGCTACAATTAAAATCCCTATCGTTATAGCTTTTCGGATTTTTAACCAATTAAATTTGATTTTTTGTACAGAGATTTTCGGGCTTCCGACCCAAAATTAGAATTCAGGATCAAGTGTAACGTAAAAAATTTCACACCATTTTTTTTAAAAAATAGGAACTATCTTCGATGCTCTAATTAAAATTTTTCTACATGCGATTTTACCATACTATGGGTGTTCTCAAGCAACTTCCTCAATATGATTGGATAGCGTGCACAAACATTACTTATAGTGCGAAATGTGGGTATTAAGCGTTCTCAAGCAGCTTCCTCAAAGTGATTGTGAAAGCGATCGAGACGTTGCTCAATCATTGCCATTAATTGAAGTGGTTATTACGATTAAATGGTAATGATATGCTGAAAATTCATTGTGCGAATTAGCCACTCAGAGTAAACTATAAAAAAAGAGATGGTATGCACCTCCATATTTTAT